GGCCTTTTTCCAGCCACTCTTCCCCAGGCTGGAGCACTGCAGGGGGCTGTGGTGACCCAAGGGCAGGACCTGGCACTTGGCCTTGTCCCACCTCATCCCATCGGTCTCAGCCCATGGATCCAGCCCGGCCAGGACCCTCTGTAGATCCTCCCAGCCCTCAGGCAGATGAAGACTTGGTGTTGCCTGCAGACCTCCTGGGGGGCCTCCTGCAGAGCATACCTCTTGCAGACCTTGTTGGGCAGCCCGTGGCTGTCAGCGGGGTAGAAGCCCTCGCGGCAGGCGGGGACGCAGCGCCAGTGGGGCGCGGGGGTCTCGGGGGTGCAGGGTGCACACTCCTCCTCACCCGGCCCTGTGGGGACAGGGGACATGACAGGGGCGGTTTCGGGGACAGGAACCACGTCACTCCAGTGTGGCCAGAGCCCCACATGAAACGAGGGCACCGGCTCAGCTCCTACCTGGCAGTGAACAAGCTGCTTCTGCCATCAGGATTTTGCCATCCCCCAAAAAAACATCATTTCCCACCCCAAAAACCCCAGCCAGGACCCAGCACCCTGCCCCTCTGCAGAACCAGGAGCTGACCACAAGGGCGTGGTGGTGGCCAGCACATCAGAATCCCCTCCAGGGCACCAACCACCACTCCAAAGCATGCACCAGTTTGGCTTTCCCACCCCCTGCAGAGCAAAATGTGGGAAAAGAGATGCTGGACTGGGCTGTGGAGGAGCTGGAGGAGGGAGGGATGTGGGAGAGGGGCTGGGGAGGCAGGGGACCCACACCGTGCCCAGGCAGCAGCCCTCGGTGATGGAGGTGGCATTATTAGAGGCCTTCCACTCACCAGGCTTGAGAAATGGTGATGCGGGAAAAGGAGACGAGGAAAGGCTTGAAAAATAATTGTGGTGGAGTACGTTTACACTGACTGGAATAAGAATTAGAAGGGAAGTAATTTTCTTTAGGGATTAAGAGCCTGTTCCCTTCCACGCTTTCCAGCAAGATCAATAAATATTTTGGATTTAGTCTTAGGAAATTGCCCATGTATGATAGACGAGATTCACGCCACTGAACACGAATTGTCTGGAGATCACATTCTCATCAGATCCACGATGATTTCGAGGGCAGACACAAACATTCACAATGGAAAATAATTGGACTTTCAAGGAGTGCAAAAGGCAGGAGTTAAAGGGAACACTGATCAGCTTTGGGCAGCGGGGGGGAGCTGGCAGCAGCCAGCCTGGCCCTGTGGGATGTGGGATAACGTGCCTCGGCTGCTTGGCATTTTTCTATGCTGCAAAGCCACCTTCCATCACTCTGAGAGGGTTTTACAGCCTCCCCCGCAACCTTATTAAACTAAAGCACCTGGCTTCCGAGGGATCAGGAAATAAAGAATGGCTCTAATAAAAATGTAGAAACTTCCTAAAAACCTTTCTAATATGAATATATTCCCAGCACCTCGCGGGATGTGCTGGAGAGCTGGGATTGCTTCCTCGCCCGCACGCTTTGCCTTGGCTCGGGGTGGGTGTGGTGGGCAGCAGCTCCTGACCCACGAGGGTTTTGGGGACTGGCGTGGGGCTGCAGTGGGGAGAAGGGTGTACCTGTGCTGGCGGGGCAGGTCTCGCACCGTCGGGGCTCCCGGCTGAGGTACATGGCTGGCTGGCACTCGGGCACGCAGCTCTCTCCTGCCAGGCTGCCAGGAAAGCAGACAGGACATCTACAGCCCCCGGGGACCTCACCCAGCCCGTCCCCAGCTCTGCACCCCCCAGTGCTCCACAGCAGCCCTCAGAGAGCCAGCTAGTGCTTCAGGAGAAATCAAAGCCCTGCCTGGACCAAAGGGATGGCTGCAGGTTCCTTAATTAAGTATCCAGGAGGAAATACAATTATTTTTTCCCATGGGCAGCCAGCCAGGCTCTCCCAAAGTCCTTCCGCACCGTGAGGCTCCCCGGAATAAAAGGAAATGAGTTCAGTGGAGCAGCTGGGCCGGTGCTGCTCCACCGTGGCAAGGATGATTTGGAGTCCTGGGTTAAAAGGATATTGGACAATAAAAAGCCAGCGCCGTGCGGATTATATCTGACAAGAGCCTCCACTTTTGCTTTTCCAGGGGAGCAGATAATCTTCAGGCAGTGGCAATTTCCTTGCCTGAGAAAGCCCCACTGCTACACCGTGGCTCTGGCCCATTTACAGCCCCTGAACAAAGCAAAACACTCTGGGATCATAACTCCACGTGGGCTTGGGATGGAGAACAGCTTCTCCCCAGTGCCAGTGCTGCTTGCCAGCATGGATGGGCTCTGCAGTCCAAAGGAGCCACGGGGCCAGCAACAAGGGCACCTGGTGCTCCTCACAGGGCCAGGGCTGTCCTGCCTGTACCCCTATTGTGGAAAACCACTGTCCTATACTAGTCCTGCACAACAGGCACATCAGATAACATCTTCCTGCAGGGATGAAGCTGAGGAAAGAGTTTCTGCTCTTGCAGGGAGCATTTTCAGCCTGCCTAGAGCAGCTCAGCCCCGTACCAGCTCTGCCAGGCGAGTAAAACCATGTGCCCTGTTTGTCTGGGATGGCTCCAATGGAGCCACCTGAGATTTGGAAAGACACACACTTTGCAACATGCAGTGTAAAAGTTTTCCTCACTTCCCCCCCCCCCCCTTTTTATTTCTTGGTTTCCACACGTCCCCCCCCCCCCATTTTATATACTGTGACACAAGGAGCTGCTCTGGTCTCAGGTCACCAAATTCAGACGAGTGCTTCTGAGCCTGAAGCACCACATGTACCCACCACCCTGGAAAGGAAATTAAATTTAAATCATGCTCTTCAGCTAAGAAAGGGACACCTCTAAATTCCCAGACCTCCAGCACTCTGTGCCACAGCTGCAGTACCATGGAAGCAGGACCGTGGGTCTTCAACTCATTTACTTTCAAATTTCCCATCAGTTTTCCCAGAGTTAAACCATTGGTACCAACGCTGGAGGTAGAAACTCCTCCTGTACTGATATTTTACCTGAATCCATCTTTGCATGCAGTACACTTGTCTGCTTCACTGGCACATTTTTTACAGCTTTGATGACATTTCAGACAGCGTTTCTGACCTTTCCAAGAAAAAAAAGTGAGGCAGGGAGAGTAAAATCTGGATGGTGATTTGCAAGCAGCAGTCAGAGCTGGAAAGCCCCACTGCACCCCAGCTCCAGCTCCCCAGGGTGGGGAGCCACGTCCCCCTCCCCGACAGTCCCTGCTAGTGCAGGTGACCTTATCTGTCACTGCTTGCTGAGGAGAAATAGCTTTGCAGGTAGCTAGGGTCATTAACGACAGTCTAATTAAGAGCCGAGTTCAGCGCCTCTGCTTTGCACACCCACAGATTTTCCTCCTCCCTTCACAGTGCAAAGCTGGGTGGAGGCCGGGGGGGTAAATTCAAAGCCAATACTCAAAAATCAAGGTGTTTTCTTCACCCACAGCACGTAAAATAGAAGCGACCCCTCCACACCCTCACGCCACAGCTCCCAAGGGATCAACTTCCTTACGTTCCTCGGCGTAAAACCCGGGTGGGCAGAGCACCACGCAGGTGCCCATCTCCTGGTGGTGGTAGAGGCTCCTCTTGCACGCCGTGCACTGGCTGGGGCCCCTCCCGACGCAGCGCTCGCAGCCCTTGTGGCACCGCCGGCACCTCCGGGCACCTTTGTCACCGAAAAACCCTGCGGGGCACGAGCTCACGCACACCCTGGGGAGGGAACCGACAGCGCCCACGCTGTGGTGCCAACACCCGGCCAGCTCCTGGCAGTCGGGTGCTGCCACCCTCCCCTCGCCCGCGGTGCTCGGGGTGTCCCCTCCCAACCTCGGTGGGGATTTGGGCTTCTCCACCTCTGATTTTTGAACATCTAGAAGTGATTTGGCACCTCAGCCAGCTGTCCCTCAGGCATGGGTGACCCCGGGCACTGAAGGCAATGCTTCTTCTCCAGCAGGATTACATGGCCAAGGTCCTCCAGGGCTCTCCAGCTCCATGTCCCCCACCCTACCATAGCCTAGTCCAGGGCAGGGATCCCCACACCTCCTCCTGCCTCCACTTTTACCCCTCTGTGTAAATATCTGTCACCCAAGCTACGGTGCCAGCCCTGGAGAAAGGTGCTCCATTACCACCCGGGCACCCTGTAGGGACACCCCACAGCCCTTACCTGCTGGTTTTCATGCTGCCCAGGCTGTAGTGGATGCAGTTCAGGCACTGGTCGGCGTTGGGGCCGTCGCAGCCTTGGTCACCACACTCGGGGTGGCAGGGACCTGGGGAGGGAGAGAGCGGCTCTGCGGGGGCAGAGACTGAGCATCCCCCAGACCCTGCTGCCAGGGGGAGCTGGGCACACCCACCCTGGGCTGAGGGGTGTGGGGAAGGGGCTGGGGACCCTCTGCCTGTTTTATCCTCTATTATCCTCTAGATCTTGCACATCTCATCCCATCTATCCCGTGGAGCTGCACGGCTCTGGGTACTCACCTCTCCTCTAGCTCATCCTCCCCAGCACGAATCCCACCCATCCTCTGGCTGAACACCCTGGCACAGGAGCAGCTTTGAAAGAGGGGCCAGCCCCACTCCTTGGGGACCAGCAGGGACACCCGCCCGTGCCCGTGCTGGGGCGGAAGGTGGGCAGAGGAGCTTTTTTTACTCCTCAGACAGCTGCACCACCAATTTGTGGCAGGAACGTTGGGACGGGGCATTTTGCTACCTTCTAATTTCACCGCCCTGCTGCCCCACACTGGCCACAGGCACTGCTCCTCCCAGCCCTGGGCAAGATCAGGCCTCATGGCTCACCCAGTTTAGCGTTTTCCAGGGTACTTCAGGGGGGACAACGAGGTGGCTCAGCTGGTGCTTACCCGTGTACTCCTCCTCCTCCTCTGCCACCTCCACCTGGCTCTGTAGGAAGGCTGCTCTAGATGGCTCCATCTCTGATGCTGGCACCTCCTGCGTCCTCCCGCGGGACTGGGGGCTGCCCAGTGTGGTGTAGGGGTGCTCGGCTGTCCCGTAGAAGAGGAGGCTCCACTCTTTCAGCTTCCCTGTGGGACAGGCACAACATCACCCATCCTGCTCCTCCCAGGGGGATCTGGCTTTGGGGGAAGCAGGATGGACTGGACAACCAAGGTCCACCGGCACAGCAGTGCAGGAGCAAGCCACAGACACCCAGAAATGATCATCACCCCCTGAGTTCCCAGCCCACACAAATGCAGCTGTTTAAGGCACCTACAGGGGATTTTTTAATTGTATAACTTGCTTGCTGAAGCACAGCACCACCACAGCTCAACATGCAAAGAGCTGCATTACCTTTGAAAGCTCCATAATGGAGGATTATTTCTGTCTGATAAAAGCCACCTGGCACACACTGGATTACTTCTTGCTGTTGTTCCAGCCACCACCCTCTCCAACGTGCCAGAGGTCTGATCCTAGTGTCCCCCAAAACACCACAGGGGCCACTGCAGCCTGTGTTGCACCCAGGGTCTGGGGACCCTCATGGCCTTACACCCATGTTTGGGGTGCTCCCCAACCCACGCCGCTTTGGGGAAGGGATCCAAAAAGTGCTGATGCTTCTTTCCAGTGCTGTTTTTCTCTCCACTCCCCATCCATGCAAGTCCCTTCGCCCCCATGGCACGCTCAGCTTTAAGGACTAATCTCTGCATTTCCAGGAAGGGCTTAACATTTCCAACACCCAAATCCCCCGACTCTCCAAAAGGGCTGAGAGGGACCCACCTGCTGCAAGATGGAGTGGAGCCTGTGAAGGGACAAGCTCGGGCAGCATCAGCCAGGGAAGAGCCCAGGCACATGCCTCCACCAAAAGAATTAAATATGCTTTAAATCTAAAAAGTCCCATGCAAGGGAAGCCTGGGCTGCACGGCACTGGTGCTGTGCCAGCGAATGGACACCTGGAGTAGTTAATGGGGATTAAATTAACCAAGTTAATTGGTTTAATTTAATGGTCTTAAATGAACATTTAATCCCCGTTTCTGCCGCGGGCTGGGAGCATCATCCCTCTTTACGTTCCTGCCTTGCCCTCTCTGCTTCAAACCTGGTGCAGACCCTTTGAGGGGGTGATGAAGACTCTGGTTTTTCCTTTTGTTTTGCAAAGCCAGGTACAGCTGAGCCCTGGCGCCCGCGAGGGGCCCGGGCACACCCGCCACAAACTGTAAATACAGGCAGAAAAGCAGCTCCGTGGGCACTTTGCTGCCGCTCTCCGAGTTCAAAAGATTTCGGGCGAAGGCAGCAAACAAACATTTTCTGCACAATCAAACCCCCCCCACACGCCTCCCGCCAGAAAGTCGCGTGGGAGAGGTTTTTAATATACTCCTGGCTTCCTATCAATGAGTTTGTGGATTTTAACACCCCCGCGACGCGCGCCAGCCCCAGGCAGGGTGCTTCATACCCCGCTGCTGGCAGCCAAGGAGGCAAGGGGAGGGGAGAGGAGGGGAGGATGCTGCCCCATCCTTTTTTCCCAAGAATGGGCCCGGGAGCAGGCAGCCAAGCTGGGGACACGCGGGGGGCCGGGCTGAGCCCAGCCACCCCCCCGTCGGCGCGGTGGCAGCCTGGGGAGGATGTCCATCCGTCCGTCTGCAGCCCGAGGGGCATCGTCCCCTCTCGCCGTTGCACAACCAGCCCACGCGCCAGATGTCCCAGCAGCGAAGCAAAACAAACAAACAACAATTACAGCTCTCGGGTTTCCTCATTTTGACTCATTACTGTTTAATTTTGGAAACCTGGGACTTGGTCGCAACGAGTTTGCTGGTGGGAGAAAATTCCCTCCTGGCTCCGCCAGACTGGCAGCCTCCTGTGCTCAGGGCTGAAGTTTTACTCCCATTTTTGAAAAATTTGGGCAATACGGATTCGCTGAAGACCATAAAACTCACAGAAAAAGTTTGGGCGGCCTGCGAAGAGCTTTGGGGGCGATGGGGAACCCTTACCTTGTGCCGTGGGGTTGCGCACTTGGGACGGCGTGTCGTGGATCTCCAGGGTCCACTCCCCCGCCGCCCGCTCCCCCCAGCAGTGGACGGTCATGAACTCCCAGCCCTTGAACCCCTCGTTGGAGTGGTCGAACACCCTGCAACGGTAACGCCGTGCATCAAGAAGCGTGGCTTTGACTGTCTGATTTAATCAGAAAAGGTAGATAGAGTCATTGAGGATTTT